TACACGATCAACAGTAATTGATGGACGTTTTTTCATATCAACTGGTAAACCATTATGTAATACATGAATTTGATTTGGTCTTACATCAAGTGTACTAACAACTTTGAATTTAATTGAATCACCTTCTTGAACTCGTTGGGTATCTTCATAAAATGATGGTTGATCTAATTATAAATAGAGATAATACTTTTTTATAATCTAATATTAAACTTACATGAAATATTTTCTTGATCAGTAATATCTTCAATCATAACATTACTTAATCGTCTTTGTGCTGTTTGTGGTTTAAGTCTATTTTGATCATCATCAAATTCTGTAACAATATATGGTGTTGGTTGTTCATCAATTTGTATTTGTTCTCGTTCAATAACACGTATTAATGGTGTTCGAACAATTAAACCTTTAACTCTTAATTCATAATGTCCTGTATCATTAGGTTTTAAATGTTCAATAATTAATGAATGTTTTCGTCCATTATTTTCAGTTAATATATGAACATTTGATGTTGATTGTAATGGTTGATTATTTTTAAACCATTGTGGTTGTTCACCTTTAGGTACTTGTGGAAATTCACATTCAAGTTCAAGACGTTCATCCGTATAAAAAACATCTTTTGGTAAATCCATATTTTGTATAACTAATGGTCGTGGTTCAACAATTAATTCAGCTAATGGTACTGATTGACCTTGTACAACAGCGGTATATAAACCATGATCAGGCATTTTAATATCTTCAATTTGTACTGTGATTGAATTTGTTTTATAATCTTTTGTCATATGAACATATGGTTCATGTGTTATAGGATTTTCTTCATGAAATAATTCGATTTTATTTAATGGTACATCAAAATTAGGTGCTAATTCAAATGTAACAGTATCTCCTAGAAGAAGAAAAGAAATGTGTTTTTAAAAACGAAATGATAATTAATATTTACCTTCATGAACAAGTTTTGAAGCCACTTGTGATCGTAATTGTTGAATATTTGGTGTTTGTTGATATGGAAGAACTTTAATGGGTGGTGTACGTAAAATAGTATTCGAATTTTTAAGTTCATAAACACCAGCATCAGTTAATTTTAAATTATGAATTATTAATAAATCATTTAATGAATCTTTTTGTATTTCAGTATGATCATTTGGTATTATTAATTGATTATCTTTGTACCATTTATAATCTTTATTTATATTTGGTTGAAGAAATTGACAATCAATTCTTAATGTTTCAGTTTCATTAAATGTATCTTGTGGTAAATCAATCATTTGTATTTGCATTTCACGTGGTTGAACATGAAGTGTTATTATTGGTTGAATATTACCATTGATCAATGCACTATAATCACCTGTATCGCTTAAACGAGCATTGACTATATTTAAACGAACATCTTTAGGTCCATTTTGTTCAATTTTAAGATGTTTTAATGTTTCATTATCATAGATTATTGGTTGACCATTTTTAAATAATTGTACATCATGAACTGTTATTGGAGTTTGTGAAGCTATTTTAAGTGTAACATTATCTCCTTCTTTAATAGTACAAGTTTTTGTATCAATTGGTTGTACAGGAGGATTTGGTGTAATTGTATATGTTACAGTTTCATCAACAATTTCAGTTACATCTTGTTCTCGTTCAATAACATTTATAAATGGTGTGCGAACAATTAATGGGCCACTTTGAACTTCATAAATACCTAAAAAATAAAATTTATAATGAAAATTTCTTGTTACAAATAATTAACTTACCAGCATCATCTAATCGTAAATCTCGTACGATTAAAGTAACTCGATTACCAACATTTTCAATAGTTACTCGATCATTATTTCTAAGTAGAATATTATCTTTAGTCCATCGTGGTAATTCAGTTGGTTCATTTGTAAATTCCAGATCAAGTGTAACTGTATCACCAACAAAAAATGTATCTTGTTCAAGTTGCATTTCTTGAATTTCTGGTTGACGTGGTTCAACTTCAATTTGTGCTAATGGATGCATATCATTTTGTATTTGTACACTATATAAAGCTGAATCATCAAGTCCTAATGTTTGTAATATAATACGAAGTTTATCATCTTCACGTTTAATTAATATCTAAACAAATCGAAAAGATTAAAATTAAAGTTTACATATGGAAATATTACTTTGGGTTTTTCTGATGGCATTATTTTTCTTCCATTCTTTAATAAATGTATATCTTGAGGTCGAATATTAGGTTGTAAACCTTCAACTGATAATGTAACTGTATCACCTTCACGAACATTTTGTATTGGTATATCGGGTTGTTGTTGTTTTGGTAAAACTTGAATCATCGGTGCTCGAGCAATAACTGGACCAATACGAACTTCATAAATACCTGAATCTGTACGTCTAGCATTTCGTATAATAATTGTTAATGTATTATTTTCATCAATTAATTGAATATTTTCATTTGGATGAATTAATTGTCCATCTTTAAACCAATTTGATGTTGGACCTGGTCGTTGTGGAAATGTACATGCTAAACGTATTGTTTCACCTTCTTCAAATATATTTCGATCTAATTCAAGTAGAAAAACTTCTGGTTGACGTTCTTTAACATCAAGTAAACAAATCGGTGTACGTTGTCCTTGAATATCAATTTCATATAAACCACGATCATTTAATGCTAAATTTTTTAATTCTAATTTAAATTGATTACCATCAAATGATTTATGTATTTCAGGTTTATTTATTATTGGACGATTATCTTTTAAAACAGTTATTTGATCAAGTATATTTTCAGGTGAGATTTGTTGATCAATATTAACATCAATTTGAAGACTATCACCTTCAGTTACTGTACGTACAGGTGTTGGTTGAATAGGTTTTTCAATAATACGAATAAATGGAGTTTCAACAACAAGATAATCACTACGTAATTCATAAACACCTTCATCGCTAAAATCAACATTTTTTATTGTTAATGAATATTTTGTTGGACCATCTTGCATTTGACTTTCAATATTAACTAAATGACGATTTGATGATTGAATTGGACGACCATTTTTAAACCATGTTGGTTGAAGTTTTTTCGTTTTTATTGGTCGTTCAAATTTACATTCAAGTGTGATTGTTTCATGTAAATAAAATTCATCTTTAGGTAATGTTATTAATTGTCGTTGTATTGGACGTTTTTTAACAAATAAATCAAGTAAATCTTGTCGTGCTTGATTATTTATTTCAAGTGAATAAACACCTGAATCAGTTAAATCAACATCATTTAAATGTATAACCCATCGATTTAAATTTCCTATGGATGTATCACGTTCAAATTTAATACGTGAATAATCATTTATAGGATGGTTATTTTTTAATAAACGAAATTGATTTGGTGAAAGTGATTGAATATTTGTATCAGGAGAAACTTCAATTGTTAAAGAATCACCTTAAAATAAATAGAAATTAATATAAAAAATATTTATAAACGTTAGAGATGTAGATCTCGGAGTGAGTTATTGTAATATATGAATTATATATGTATATATTTGACGTCAATGACTTAACCTATGGACGAATTCTCTTTAAAATTTGACATTTCGTATGAGCATTGGATATTATCAATACTTTTAGCCGTACCCCCCTACGGTAATGGTAAGAAATATGTGCGTCAAAGTCTCTTCTAGTCGGAATTTTAAAAAAGTGGGGCTTATAAGTCCCACTTGATATTTAAAGGGTTAAATAAATAAAAATTTCAACAAACCTTCCATAATTTCTTGTCGTTGAAGTGTAGTTAAAGGTTGTAAAAGTCGATCAGAATTTTCATCATCAGTTGATAATCCCGCATCATCAACAACTTCTAAATGACATGCACGATAAATAGGTCCTAATGAAATAACATATTTATTTGAATCTTCTTTTTGTACATCATGTATTAATAAACATTGCATTGAACCTTCAGATATAATTTCAAATTTATTATTTAAATTCGGTTGAATTTCTTTATTTTCAAGAAACCATTTAACAGGTACATTTGGTTTATTTAATGTACAACTAATTGTTGCAACAGGTCCATCTTCACGTCGTTTCCAAATCAGATAAGATTGTGGTCCATCAATAAATTGTGGTGCTGATTCTTGTATTTTAACATCCGAAACAGTTATTAAACGATCTTCAAGACGACATGTATATGTACCCGAATCAAATTTATTAATATTATTTATAATTAATGTACATGTTTCATCAGCATTGATAATCATTAATGAATTATTTGTTTCCAATGGAATATTTGATTGATCTTTAAACCATTGTACTTTTTTTGGTTTACGATTTGTTTCACATATTAATGTTAATGTATCATGTTCATTTAAACGTATTTGTTTTGGTAATGGTTGAATTAATTGTAATTCACGTTCAAGTATTTTAACTTGACATTGTGTTGCAATATTATTTGCATCAATTATACATGTATAGATACCTTCATGATCAAATTTTTGTGCTTTTTCAATTGATAAACGATGTTCATTGGTTGGTAATGAATCTAATTTTGGTTTTAAAGATAATTTATAACCATTTTTCATCCAACTAACATGTGTAGGTTTATTTGTACGTGTAACAAGAACAAAATTATCACCTTCTTCACATAAAAATACTTCTTCAAGTGGTTGAATAAAATCTAATGTTGATGGTGTTTGTAAAACTTGTAAATTAGCTGTTGATGATTGATCACTTTCAGGAAATGAAACTGTATATTGTCCTTGATCAGATAATTCAGGTTGATGAATAAATAATAAATGATGTGTATTATCATTTGATATTAATTCATATTTTGTTGTATTATCAAGTTGTCGATTATTAAAATACCATATTGGTTTTTTATCTGTTGGAGTTGTTTCAATATCAAATTGAACCTAAAAAGAAATGTATATTGATTTATATCTAATTACTATCTTTTATTTCAAACCTGTGGTTCTTGTCCTAGAATACATCGTTGTGGTTCAAGATGTTTTGTTATATTAACAAATTTATCTTTAACTTGAACATAACATGATGTTAAATCAAGTTTTGTATTTGTTGCTAAACGTAAACTATAATAAGCTTGATCATGTACTAATTGACAATCATTTATAATTAATGTTTGTTCATTTCCATGATGTATGAAACGATATTTTGGACTTGAATGAATTTCTTGACCATTTTTATACCATTTAACATCAGGTGCATCACCTTGAAATTGAACAATTAATGTACATGTATCATGTACATAAATATTTTGATCTTGTAATGGTTTGATTAAACGACGATCATTTTCACTCATTAAATTCATTGATACTTGACATTCACTTGTTATTTGACCTTTACCAATAACACAACGATATAAACCTTGATCATCAGATGCTAAATCATGTATTATTAAAGCAACAACATGATGTTCATTGGCAAGTTCATATTTTCGTGATGGAAATAATTCGATACCATTTTTATACCACTGAATATGACTTGGTTTACGATTAAGTGTTGCATCAAGTGTTAATGATGTATCAGTTTGTGGAGAAAATTGAACATTTGATGGTAATGATTGAGTAAAACGAAATTCAGGTTCACGAACTGTTATATGACAAGTAGTTTCAAGACGATCACCAACAACACATCGATATTGACCACTATGTTCAGACTGTGCACGAGATATCTATTTAAAAAGAATTCAAATTTGTTATCTGTTCTATCACTATTACTATTTAATTATTTATTACATAGTGCAACACTTTGCATTAAAACAATCACGACAGAAAGTTTAATTTTCTTTCCTATCTCATGATTGTTACTCTTGTAGGTTTTTCGAAGCAGCAGGTATAGTATTGATCGGAATAGGCAAAATCTCAACAATTAACGTATACAATTCAGTCCAACAAACGGTTTCCTTTTTTTTTAAATGAAATGAATTGAGTTGCCCAGCTCTGAGTCATATGACTTCCGTTTTACTCCAAAGTATTCTCTTTTATATCAATGTCTTCAAATGATATATGAGCTATTCTAAAACTCCAGTTGCTTCCGTATATAAAATGACAGAGAGGTTGAGAACAAAGGCGAAAAAGTTAAAAAAATTTCTCTTATGTTCATAGAAAATTAATAAAATAGATATTCTATGACTCTATTCAGTAAAATAATTGATTTAACTTACTTGAAGTACATGTGTACATCCATCTGATATAGTTTTCATAACTTGATCAAATTGACTAATTTCTCTATTATCTTTAAACCATCGTATTTGATATGTTGGTCGATTTGTTCGACATTCAAGCATAAATGGTGAATCAACTTGAATATTTCCTGTATCATCATCTTCTAATAATTTAATAAATTTTAATGTTTTATCTTTATCATCTAATGTTAAATTAGCTGTTGTTATTGTATTATTTAAACAACATGTTATTGTACCAACATCAGATTCTTGTACATTAATTATTGTTAATTGTATTTCACGATCAATTAATTTTGTTTGATAACGTTCATTTATTGGTAATGGGTAACCATTTAAATACCATTGAACATTTTTTGGTGTTTTAGAACAGACACATGTAAACGTGACTGTATCACCTGAATGTACACGTTGATCTTGTAATGGTTTTAATATAAGTAATGGTTCAGGTGTAACATTAACATATGTTGTCGATTCAAGATCATTAACAATAACTGTATAAAGACCGGAATCTTCAGTACTTGCATCTTTAATAATTAATCGATGTTTTTTATTTTCTGACATTGGAAGAAATTTTTGAGGAATCTTAAATAAATGAAAAAAAGAAATATTATAGTTTGATTTATTTTTCAATCTTACTCGAATAATTTCATTATCTTTTTTCCATATCGCTTGTGTATCCATTTTATTCATTTCACATTCAATAATAATATCACGTCCACCAATAACATCAATTGATTGTGGTAAACGTCGAATAAATTGTAAATCTTCATTAGTTACTTGTACTTGTGCACGAGTCATAGCATTTTGTATACGACATATATATTCACCATTATCTTCAGATGTTGCATTTGGTATAATAAGTATATGTCGTGTACCCTGTGTTATCATATGATATTTTCCACTTTCATCAAGTTTTTTAGCTTGATTAGGTGCTGTTGAATAAATATCCGTTTTAAACCAAATAGCTTCACTTGCTGGTTGAGATGTTTCAACAACAAGTCGTAATGGTTTACCTTGTTCAACGCGTGTATCAACTAATGGTTGTGTTATTTGTACGATTGGTATTGTTTCAGTTACTTGTATACGTGATGTATTTAAACCATAAGGTTCTTCTCGATGAAATATTGGTGTTTGTTTATCATACGTTTCACTATCATAAAATTGTAAACGTTCTTCTGGAATAGATTCTTCACGATATGGTGCATGTTTTAATTCACGATGTGATAATGTTGGACTAAAAATAATAATAAAATATATAAAAGAAAAACTTTTTTTTTGAAATGAAAATCTTTTACCTCATTGGTATTTGCATTTCAACGATTTTTCTTTCAACGGATTGTCGAGCTGGTGATCGACTTGGTGAAAATGTAACGGATGAACGATGTCGATGATGTTCATCTTGTTCTTCATAAACAGGTGGCATTTTTGTTGTTGGTGTTATATTTGCAAATGTCATATTTGTTTTACGTGTTGGTGATGGCGATGGAGATTTTGAACTACGATCAATATAATGTCCAAAATCTTGTAATTGATTTGATGATTTATATGTTGTTGATGGTGAAAAATGACGTGGCATTGATAAACGTTCTCGTTCAGGACTTGTACCTGATGAATAACCACTACGAATATATTCACGTTGTGGACTTGGACTTGAACTTGGACGAAATGTTGCCGAACCTATAAGAAATAAGAAAGAATAAAACAAGAATAAAAAATAAATAAATTAATATATCTGACTTGTTTTAGTTGCTGTTGATGGTAAACGTTGTTCACTTGTTTCTTGTATTGTAATTTTTTTAGTTCGTCGTGTTTCTTCAACACGTGGTGATTGTTGTCGTTCATTATCTTCAGCTAATGATGGAACATAACGACTATGTGTTGGACTCATACTTGAACGATATCCACCTAATTCAGGTGTTCGACTTGTACGTGGTGAATCAATTTTCATATATGAACCAAAACGTTCTTCACTACGTGGTGTTCGTTCACGATGATCAACTGTTCGAAGTGTTGTTGATGTTGAATGACCTTCTCGTGTTACACATGTATAAACACCTTCATCATGTTCATTAAATTGTTTAACAACTAATGTTGTATGTTTATCATCACCAAGTGTTCGAAATTTATTACTTGTTGCCATTAATGTCGTACCATCTTTAAGCCATTGAAAATATGTTGAATCAAATGTTTCACAATTAAGTATAGCATCTTGACCACGAACAATTTCCATAAATGGTTTTAATGGTGAATAGAATGCCGCTAAAAGAAATCAGATAAAAAATAAATTTTAATTTTACAATAAAATAAATTATTTTTACATTGTTGTTGAGCATCTTCAATAATTAATTGACATGTAGTGGAAACAGTTGGATGATTTACAATAGAACATAAAACTTCACCTTGATCACGTAATTCCAAATTATCAATATCAAGAGTATGTAATGTTGAATTATTAAAATTTCCTTAAAACGAAATATATTAATTTTAGAAAAAAAACATTTTGGTTTTTCTTACCTAGTGTATATTTATAACTATTCTCAATAATTTTCTTTCCACGATGCATCCATACAACTTGACAAGCATTACTTGTTTCACATGATAATTTAACTGTTTCACGTGTATTTGCACGTGCATCCATTAATGGTACAACAAATATTGGCATTAAAGATTCAACAGTTAATTTTGCTTGTGATGTATTTAATCCAGTTGATGCTGTATATTCTCCATCATCACGTAAATTAACATTATGTATTGTCAAACGATGTATAAGACCATTAGCAAATGATTCGATAATATATTTATCTGATGGAATTAAATGTTGAACATTTGCTTTAAACCATAACATTTGTTTTAATGGCTTATTAAGTTCACATTCAAAAATAGCACTATTTGATATTGTTGAAGAACTTTCTTCGACAATTTGTGAACGCAAAGGACGACGAAATATAATTGGTTGTTCTAAAACGAAAAGAAAATTTAAGGAAAAAGAGTTTTTTGCTTTAGTTAATACCTTTAACAAATAATTGTGCTGTTGAAGTATTTTTATTATCAACACGTATTGAATATTCTCCTTCATCATTCATTGCAACTTTAGGTAAAATTAATTGACGTATAAAACCATGTGATGCAATTAAATGATGTTGTGATGAAATTATTGGTTGTCCACGAAACCACCATTCAACTTGAGCATCTTCTTTTGTTAATTGACATTCAAAAAATGGCTTCGTTATTTTCCGTTACTTCAATATTTTCAAGTGGACGTACAAAATCAGCAGCAGGTCCTTTAAAAAAAACATAATTCATATTTTCCAGAAAACAAAATAAGATATTTTTCTTAAACACAAACCTTGAACATTCAAATGAAGTGTTACACGATATTTATCAGCTTGACAAACATAATCTCCTTGATCATCGGATGAAACATTTTTAACAATTAATTCTCGCTGTAAACCATCATCAATACGTTTATATTTTGTATTTTCATTTTGTTGTCCAATAAATAATGCTTGATCACCTTTATACCAATCAACATTAACATCCGAACGTTTAACTGCACATGCTAATTTAGCTGTACCATGTTCTTCTGTTGATACACGTGTTATAGGAATTGGAATAAAAACACTCTCACGTTCTATAAGAAATAAATAAAAGAAAGAAAGTTTATTTTTCTTAAACAAATATATATATAAAATAAATAAACAAACCAAGAATTTGTAGATTTGTTTTTGAATTTGCTGTACCATATTGATTTCGTACTGTAATTTCATATGCACCTGAATCTTGTGGTAAAGCATCAGATATAACTAATGAATAATTTCCATTTTGATCATGAAATACTGAATAACGACCACCTGCTTGAATTTCTTGTCCATTTTTATACCTGAAAATAAAAGAATTTGATATTCATATTCATTTATTATATCTTTCAACAAACCAAGTAGCAGATGGCATAGGCGTTGCTGTGACAGTACATTTTAATGTAACAATATCACCAGCTTTGGATATCATTGGCATAAGTGATTGAAGAAAAATTGGTGCTCGACCAATATGTGGTGTTACTTTATATGCACCACCTTGATCATATGCCATTTCTGTAATACGTAATTCATCTTCGTTATCAGTTGTTTCTAAATTGGAAAAAAATAAATATTTATAGAATTAATTTTATGTTTCTTACCTTTTTTCGATTCCGGCGATGAACCTTCTCGAATAACTAAATCTTCACGAATAGTTCGTTCATCACTCATTTCTAATTTTCAAATAATCATTTTTAAAAAAATCGTTTTTTTTATTTTCTAAACTAACCTTCTTTGACGAATAATTTACAACTGCAAGTAACTGTTCCAGCATGATTTGAAATTTTTATCGAATAAATTCCTCCATCTTCAACAAAAGCTTCCTATAAAAACAATTTTATGATAAATAATCTTAACCATATTTATACAAAAAAATATACTTTAATTATTAATTTAAAATGTTTATCTTCTTGTACTTGTCTACAATCAGCACTATCTTGTAAAGGTATATTATTTTTAAACCATGTAGCATGAACTGGTGTTGTACTAATAACTATACATTCTAATGTGACAAAATCACCCTCTATAATTAAACGAAAAGAAAAAGAAATAAAATATCGATTGAATAGTTTTTAATTTAACCTGTAGCTAATGAATCATTTAATTTTTTTAGAAATTTTGGTTTGAAATCATCGTTTTCTCCGGCAGTTTGATAACTTGATTCACTTTCACTTCCAACTGAATAAAAATCCGATGCTCCCGATGTTGTTGTATGTCCGGATGAACGACCACGTTTTTGTTGTTCGGACATCTTTAAAAATCAAAAAAAATTATTTTCTTAATTAACAAAGAAATAAAACTTTACTGATGATTCTAAAACATCCACTGTTCGTTTTTTTGTTGCTGGACGTTTTTGTCGTGTATCATCATCTCCTTCAGCTGTTTCAATCATTTCAATTTCTTCCACAAAACCTATTAGATAAAAATAAAGATTGTTTTTTTTTGTATTTCTAGAGAAATCTATCTTACCAAGAGATTTAAGATTATCTCGTAACGATCTTACTAATGATATTTTTGAAAAAGTATTTCGAGCATAAAATGTAACACGTTCATTATCATTAAATGTAATTTCAAATTTTTTATCATCATCAGGAAAATTTTCTTGTATAAAAGTTATTTCATTTGTCTAAATAAAAAATAATTTAAAAAAAAATGAATTTTCTGGTTTGAAATATTTACATTATGTGCTTGTTTAAAAGCTAATGATTTTGGTTCTAATCTACTATCAACACGTTTACGTCGACATAAAATAATTTTATGACGATATAAATATAAGAATCTTTCACGTAAACGTGCACCATTTTCATTTATTGAATCAAGATCATGATCAGTTGTTTTAATTAAAACAACATCATGACGTTTTAAATCTCCTAATTCATCATTTGTAAATGGTAAATTATCAATAAGTTCAGTTGCATCACGTTGACGTGCTTCATTCATTACATTGCTTATCATTGTATAAGCTTGTTGAAATACTGAACTATCCTCTCGCATACGATTTGTATATTTAATCATTTCCTATTTAGATAGAAGAAAATAAATTTAAAGAGAAATTTTATTTTTGTTGCCTTACTTGTAAAATATTCTTATATTTTTCAAGTCGTTGTATAGGACGATTAAGTAAATTATTAAGTGTTAAATCACTTGTTTGTATACCTAATCGTTGTTTTAATTCATCGAAATAACGTTGAATATTTGGATTTGTTTGTAGTACATGTTCAGATCGTGTACGATCATACATATACTGAGAATAAAGATTTAAAAATTGATCTCGTCGACGTAAAAATACATAAGCCAATTCATTTGGATCATGTTCAATAGCATTAGTTAAATCGTTTAAGAATAATCTTTAAATACACATATATATATATATGGAAAGATTTATTTTATTTTATTTTATACATACACTTTATGGAATGCGAATATGTCTTCAATGTTGCTGAAAAGAAGATCTTTTTTTTCTTTGACGAACCACGGACATTCTTGACGAGTTAACTCATATAGATAAATTTCAATAATACGTTGAAGATCAGCAACATATGAACGTTCGCTTTCGAGAATGTCAGCGAAGGCATATCTTAATAAAACAATAATATTAGACATTGACAAAAAAAAATGATCATCTTTCCGATAATTAATGATTAATTTCTACTATCATATTATATTTACGAAATATTTTCTTAACTCTCTATGTATTCTTTTTTTTGTTTATTGATTGCAGTAGTTTTTGTTATTTTCAATGTAAAGATATTATTAAATGTTTGTCTTATCAGATATAATGATATATAGAAAATCCCTTAAGGATAAAAGAAGACATGTTTATTTTATTCGTTAATGACGACAAGAATTGTTTTAATTAGAAAAATCTTATCTTTTTTCTTTTGGTCTATATAGATCGAAAAATATTTTTAAACAATATTAAAACGAGAAAAAAATATTATTTTATATATATATGAAAGAAATATTTTTAGATTTTAATTCGATTCTCTTTTTTCTTTGTGTTTCGATTGATTGGTAATTCAATATATGATATTAGTGAAGTAGGTTATCATAAGAACTTTGTCTAACTATTCTCTTAGTAACCTTGATCAATCCATCAAAACAAACATCTAACTTTCTTATGTAATATAGCTTAATATTGATGCTTATCTATTGAGCTTAAACGTTCAGATTATTAATTCATTATCTATCTTACAAAATCATTTTTTAAACAGATAAATTAGTATTTTACCTTCGCTTAATAACAGCCTCGTCTTGTCGACTAGTATTTGTAGTACTTGGTACGGTTTGATCGCCTGGTTGAACTTCACGTGTGCTGCGTCGATTAATCTGCAATGAACGTGATTGTCGTTGATTATCATATTCATTGGTATCATGAAAATGATGTGGTTGATAGGGATGTCGTTGTTGTTGCTGCTGCTGATATCTTGATTGTGGTGATTGTGGATGCTGATGTACATATATCTCAATACCTGTTGGACTACCTCGTTCTATTTCATCTCTTATCGAATGAGCACTAGAATAATATTCTTGATGCCCTTTTGGAGGAAAATTTGATGATTGTCGACGACTCATACGATGTCGATATGATGGTTGACGATAACGGCGACAATTTATACAAGGACAATATTCACAATAATTTCGATATTCACAAGGTGATTCAGTGCGTGTATAACTATGATACTCGTGAGTTGTTACAATATGTCTTTGTTCGCTTACACTACGTCGATAACGATCACGGTCGAATACGAATGACGATAGATTTGCTAGATTCCACGTTGGCGACGACATTAATATAGATTATAAGATGAAAAAATTTCCGAATATGGACTGTTTTGCTATTTTGGTTTTTTTCTATTTTTTTTGTGTCTTCAATATAATTATTTTATCTTCATAAGATGACAACGACAAAAATGAAGACGACAGGCGAATATTAGTGATAACCACCCTCTCTTTTCCCTAGTCGATTTATACAGATGCTTCTTGCTTGCGTAACTTCACAATGACGAGAACGATAATCAAGCGAGGATATATGTTTCAGACAAGAAGACCCATAAAAAAATATAAGAGCGAGAAAAGAAAAAGAGAAAGCTATATCAGGTATAAGAACAACAACATCAATAACAACACCAGGCACATCATTTCATACCAACATCTTTGTCACATCATCGGCTGTCTCGGTAGCTTTTCATTCTCTTCTCTGCTTCCTATTAATAATAATACGGTTGCTTCTCGCTTTTTTTTTCTTCTTTATTTCTTATTAAGAGATAGAGAGGAGCAGGTTGGTTATACATCCGTCATGTACAATAATGAGAGGGAAAGAAAATCATCGTTCGTCTCTTTTCTTAGTAAATGCCTGAAGAAAATGTCATGTTTCCTTCTCGATTTCTATTCTGTCGCTTCCACTTGTTGTTTATCATCTAATCGAGTCGAAGGAGAAAGATAAATATGTGATGAAACATACATCAACGAGAGGCTATTGATCCATTATTTTTCTAACGCTCACGTACCATATCATTTATGTATATATATATATATATATATTTATATTTACATATTGCGCGCTAAATATCGACGAGAAAAAGTGGCGCTTAGTATAGTGTCCATACGCTTCTTTTCTCCGATTTGATGAGAATCGTTTTACCATTATTATACAGTAAGAATGTGAATGTAGCATCAGCATCAGCAACAACAGCAGCAGCAGCAACAGCAACGACGGCAACATCAGTAGTGATATGCGTAAGTAATAAAATAAACAAGATGAAATTTATATTTACTCACCTGTCCTATATTTGTTGATTTCTTTTCGAGAAAACATGCTTCAACCCAACCTATTTTTGGTCGTTCATCTTTTCGAGGTCGAGTACGAACAAGATATTGTGCGGGATCATGTGAATCAAGCACATCGACAAGTTGATTTTCAGCTAGTGCTATTCCATCAGGACGTATTGGGACATAATCAGAATTAGCATAATATACTTCCGCTTCCTAAAATAAAACGTTCATAAATCGATTTATTTGAGTCATAATATTCATTTAAGATTATAATTTGTATATATATATATATTAGATTACTGTATAAATAATGACTCATTAGTTAGGTGTTTTTCAGATGTAGGCGGGTTGTATCCTTGATGATTTGGCATCTTATACATCAGCATCTAATTAATTGTCAACTAGTAGATTTTCTTGACTGCTGTTATCTTTTATTTCCGCCTCTATTTTTGTATCTCTCTCGTCAATAAGAATTGACATGACAAGACAGAAAATACTATTACTAGCTATACATTTTATATTATTTTTGGCCTTATCTTTAAGATAATATATTTTAATAAATATCTATATTTATATACATGAAAAAATCTAATAACAAACCTCTGTCATTGTTTTTAAATCATCACTACTAGATGATGAATCTTGTTCTTCTTGATTAAGTGGATTGTATCGTTTGTCGATATTGCTAGTCACTACACCGGACTTTTTTGTAAATATTCGTTTGCTAGGTACAACTAAAAATGAAATAAGAAGAATATTGACTTTAGTATTTGTTAATAAAACTTAGCAGAAAAATCTTAACATAGAATATTTCCTTATAGTATCGATAGATATCGCTATATCATGGTTATAGAGTATATTCAGGTACAATGAGAACCAGATGATGGATAAAAGTTCTCATATAATGAAAAATGATAGTTGTCTGACATTAACATCGACAATGATTTATTAGTTCTTTATAATCTTTTTTAAACTATACATAGACTATTACAGCTGAAAGGTGGTGGTTTATCTAACTCGGATTCAAAGTTCATGTGAAAATATTAATTTCTTTTTTATAATAGAAAAAGATTATTCTTATATTGATACTCTCGAGGAATTTCATAATAACGTATTGTTGTAATTAAAAATAATTAGATTAGAAATAGGACTCAAAAGACGAAAGATTTCTATCGGACATAAGAGATTCATTTATCATGATGGATATTCTATCTTATAGATAATCACAATTTATATAATAAAAATATTTTTATTTTAGATTTAAAATAAATGATCTCGACAAAAATTCTCTCAATCAACTACAATACAATATTTATTTCTAAACTTAAGTATATTAATAAGAAAAGAAGAACAAGATCTTAGAATTTCTAATAAACTAGTGAATATGTTTTCTAATCAATCGGCTGTATTGAACAGAATAATATCATAATAGTGTTCATCTATAGAAAAGTTTTACGTAAGTTGTTTATGTTAAACTATCCAATATAATCTCAGTAAAAGAATTTCTGAACTATTTCATATAATCATCGTTAAAAGAACAATTCCATTAACAAGTATTGTCCTTTACATATTCACTAATTTATTAGAGATATTTTTCGATTAATTTAATAATTAATTACTTGTTCATTCCTTCTTATTATTGTGATTTCCTATATATAAATGATGATTTGTCAATATTTAAATCTTCTGATGATTTATAATGCAATCAATTTTAAGTATACTAAGATATCTTAAAAAATATGTAATATTATGTTAACTAAAATAAACATTTCGTTTCTGTCAACAATCCATTATGCACTTAGGTAACCTTTGCCAAGGCAGAAACTTCTGGTTTATCATAAAATTAACAGATGTTAGCAAGTTTTTTTTCTTCTTATGAAAAATAAACAATACTCATTCAGAAGTATATAGTTTAAAAATGAACTTAAAAGAGAAAAGAACAAGGATATGTTGTTTGAGCAATCAATTCATCTCTGTACTCTATGACCAAAGGATAACAGCTGTCTCATTATTCTTATAATTATATCAACATGAAATCAAATGATTTTGTTAGTTATACTTACTAAAAAAAGAATATTAGGTTTTTTTTTCTTGAAAAATTCATAACAATTACCTGTCTGTCAATTACATCTATTCTCTATAACAATATTCCCATACAAAGAAACAAAAATTGATGAAGAAAAATGCTATAATAAGAACACTACGCGTTTCTATGTCAGTCTTAGAATATGTATAATATATAGTCTTGACACTGATTGTTGTTCTCAACATATGAAACAAAAGCCCATCTATATTCAGCTATTTATCTACGTCTTGTCTTCCTATATATCTATTTCATACTCTTGTTAATATGATAAGTCTAATAAATACTTATTTCTTTAACTGGAAATCAATATCCTATTATAAATATTTAAATATTTTATTTATTCTTTTGCTTATTTATTGATTAGGTAGTTTATTAAAATAAAATCAATGAATATCTTTTAGCCTTTTTTTGTCTATTTTATCTAGAAGAATAACTATTTACTATATTGGCATAGAATCGATAAGAACTTACCCTTTTGTTATCTGCTTATCCGTAAAGGGAACAGAGAAAAAAGAAGAAAAAAAAAAGTTGATCGACCGAGAAGACGATGATATAGATAGTTGAAGGCAAATATATGTACTGTAGCCTTTTTTTTTTGTTTCTAGATGCTTTTCGACGTTCGTCAAACAGGCATAAAAGGCAACCGACACGCGTACTCAATTACTAAAGACAAAAAACGTCAACTAGAAATTCGACGAGAAACAGCAATGAAAAAACAATAAGATATCCGTCAATTTATAGGGATTAGAAACTGTTTCTATTGCTATCCTTGATGAAAAAGAACACATATATAGAAAATACAGAAAGAAACAAATGCTAGTTATCTACACCCATTTTCTTTGTGGTACCCGTACATTTCCTTTTCTTTTTTTCTTCTTATGTTACATATATATATATGTATGTATGTATATGTACGTACGATCTACCAAAGAGTAGGAAGCGAAAGCGAGACCAATGACTAATTTCTTTTTTTTTTTCTCTTCATATACATCGATGATTGTAATGGGTTTATAAGGAAACAACAACAACAACAACAATAACGACATCGGGCACTACTATATGTGTTAACGGCATGGATACTGAGGTTAAATGAGAGTAAGAAAAAAGCAAAACAGCGGTACTAATATCTTGTCTATTCCTTTTTTTTTCTTTGCTTCCTTATTGTATGTGTCTATGATGAGCATTTTTCTATTTCCTTATGATAAGAAATACGTGGGTGGGTCAAGATAAATGGGTATATATATGTAGGCAGAAGGTTTTTTTGATTTTTGCTAGAATTTTCTATTAATCATAAAATGAATAAATATGTCAATGTATAAGAAAAAAAACATTTCTTTGTCTTTTCTTGATTAGATAAAAGTTAATAACTGAAAACTAATCTCTTTTTATTGTCAATCTAATTAAGACAGATGAGGAAATAAACGAAAATTTCGAAAATTATTTTAGAAAAAGTAACCTTGTAAATTATTCGTGTCTATGTAAAATAACTAATAATAATATGGACCAACTAACATAGCAAAGAATAATATCTTAATTTTTTCTAGTTTGTTCTATTAACAACAATAAACAAGAATAAGAAGAACAGAACAAAAATTTTCTATGGTCTAATAAATATCATATGTGCTAAAAGAATGTCTTTGGGAAGATCAAACTACAAAAGAATATCAGCTATGATTACTTTTATTTATCTTAACAATAGGAATGTATTCAAAAGTATCATTTGAATTTTTACTTACTTGGTTGAATGGTATCGAGATTAGCTAAATTTGATAGCGTTGGACTCATATCAATATCAGGTACCATTTCAAGAAATTCTGGAGGTACATAACAAATCTATAGAAATAAAAAAATATTTAAATTATTCTGTACAAACAGAAGCACTCGAAGCTATATCAATGTCTGGAAATCTCAATGGTATAGAAATTAATAC